ATGTATAGCCTGAATGCACTGTAAGTCGCTTTGGATAAAAGCGTCTGCTAAATGCACAAAACATTTTTATATATATATATATATATACACACACACACACACACAGTGCTGGGTAGATTACTTAAATGTAGTCCATTACAGATTACATGACAAAAATTGTAGTCAGTAATGTAATCCAATACATTACACATTTTAGGTAATATAATCAGACTATTATAGATTACTTTTAGTCTAACTATACAGGACAAAATAAACAATAAAGGTTTGCAACAACAAAGGTGAGTAAATGATGTACATTTAGATTTTTGAGTGAGCTATTCCTAAAAACAACCTGGAATATTTGGGAATTCTGAACAGCGTCTTGTCTGCAGAATGTGTTTTTTAGGGAAATCAATTTCTCAGTTTAACAAATCTGACATATGCTTTTCAAAAGCGAGCAGTAGTGCATGTGAATAATTCATAAACGCCAATTAGTGTATGAAATCGGACAGAGGGACAGCTAAAATTCACGCACTGACGAGGTTCTGTTGGAGACGCAATGGCTTGGCTCTCTAATCGGAGGTATTTTGAGGGTCAGGGATGTTTGATAGTCTGACCCTGCACATTTAAAACATCACTACAGCAGCTTTACTGTACGCCCTCGATGAATTTGTATTAATATCAAATGACCTAATCTCCAGCTGGACCTCGCGGTCCCTGTTGAGTCATTATGAGCTGCAGGAAGTGTTAGAGGAAGAGGCAACAGCTAAATGCACCAGTGAGTTTGAAGCCCTTTGAATGCTTCAGCTGATGAGTTTAGTGTTTCTCCAAGTCACTCAAACATGAAACGCTCTGAAACTAGTGGTCCAGGTTACACTACGTTATATTCACATGTACACCTTAGGCAAAGTTTGGTTCTTGTGAGTTAGAAAACAAAACAAAACTTTAAACACTGAAAATAAAAACAAAATACTAAAAGAATAATAATTAACAATAATAAAGAAAAAACCCTCTTTGGAAACAGCATTATTGCTTCGGTAACAGAACCATGAAGCACAGATGTAGGCAAGAATAACATGAACAAGGCTGCAGTGAATCTCTGTTACATTCAGCACAACAGCTTATTTATGATCACGTGACTGTACGTGTTTGGAGTGTGAGTTTAATATGGATGCAGCGATATATACACATCTTGATTTCTCTAAACGCTAGATCTTGTACACAATGAAACACAAGGAGATTGCATTCATGTAAATCATTCTTAGAAAACATTCTTATATCAGTTGTTTGTTAAATGTTAAATATTGTTTGATGATTTAAAATTCCATTTAATGATGCACTAAATTTATAAACAATTTCACTGCTGCGCCTCGTAAATGTCATATTCAATGCAAGTTTACATAAGAATGTTTTTTGTTTTTTTTACGAACAACTTCACTTTTGCTTTCTGTATCTCACATTCAGCGCAACAATTTCACTCAAGAATTAGTTTGTTCAAACTATTTTAAGGTTGCATTCAAACGACAATTTACGTATAAATTATTTATGAAAAATTTCACTGTGGAGACCTTGTGGCGAAATTTAATGGCGACCATGTGAATCTTGCATTTAATGCAACAATTTATGCAAGAATGGTTTTACAAAATTTAACAAAGCAACAATTAAGCAAAAATTATGAATAATTAATAATTAATATTTACGTATAAATTATTTATGAAAAATTTCACTGTGGAGACCTTGTGGCGAAATTTAATGGCGACCATGTGAATCTTGCATTTAATGCAACAATTTATGCAAGAATGGTTTTACAAAATTTAACAAAGCAACAATTAAGCAAAAATTGTTATATGAATAATTCGCTGTGGTCTTGTGTACCACACAAGATCTTGTAAGATTATACAAGATTTTATGAATGTGAATGTTTAATGCAACAATTTACGCATGGATGTTTTTATGAATGATTTCACTGCAAGCTTGTTAACGTCATATTCAATGGAAAATTGCACATAAGAATGGCTTTATGAAAAATTTACATAAAAATTATTCTCCTTGTGTTTCATGAATGAGGCCCAATACTTTTTTGTAGTGTTCCCTTGCAAATCTTAACAATTTCAGTGGAATTACGAAAAACTAGCATATCTTGACAAAATAATGCTTACGTTGACATAAAATGTCTGCATAATATACTAGAACCTTGACCCGGAAAATAAAAAGGAAAAAAGACTCTCAAAGCCAAGTCACACTTATTTAAAAACAGAATAGTGTTATGATTTCATTATATATTATACTCTACTTAAACTCTATTTACATTATTGAACTCAGAATCTATTCTTGAACTCTGACCTCTGACTGTGAAGGTCGGCATGGCACTGGAGGGTAGAGGCTGAGTTATACAGTAGTGCCACTCTATCGATTGGGGCTGAACTCAATTGAAGTGTTCATGTTTTATCACACGGATTGGAATGCCACAAACAGTTTTCCATGATCCCCGATGAATGTTTTCATGATCTTTAGTGTTATGCGTTTAAAGTAACACCCCCCCGGTCCATTAAGACTTTTGAATGTATATTTTTTTCTTATGTTAGATGAGGCACACTTGTCAACAAACACTGATAAATTCACGTTAAAGATCTGTGTTTGTCGTTTTCGACCCCGTCCACACCTGTGGCGGCAGGTGATAAGCTACACTCAGTGGTCTGTTCCCCCATCCAACACAGGAACAGGAAGTGTGGTGATGGGTCCACAAAAGGGATGTAAGGTGCACGGTAATGTGCGTGTGTACAACAATCACACGTGTAATGCATATGCACACTAATACACGCAAACACACACACCTGGGCCCAGCGGCGCGTTTAGGAATATGACGTATAAGGAGTCGGCTCTCTGTCTCTCTCGGGGCCCCACCGGACATCAGAAGGTAGTGGGATAGGGGCTGAGCTCATGTCTCCCAGCCCAGGTGCTCGCTGCGCTCCAGAGACTGAGTCTTGCTCTTGTGTGGGGATGAAGGGCTCGGTGGGCTGCTCAGGTTGGAGCTGTTGGAGGCCGTGGAGTGACGTGGCGAGTCTGAATCCTAAAAGCAGAAGACGAGGGAAAAGTTAGTGACATTTTTTGTCCTTTTCTTGTCTATTTTGATCAAACTTCACACTCTTCTGAGGCCAAAACTAATCAATGATTTATTTATAAGTATGTTAAATATAGATGTTCAAAATGACATTTTGTAAGGGAGTGAATTGTCTGAATCACATGGAGTTAAAGAAGCTTGCATGGGGTCATGTGACCAGACACGCTTATGAATAATTAGAATAAAGAGTTCAAAAATGTGAAGTCAGTAATTTTTTTTTTTTTATATATATATATATATATATATATATACTTTATTTAGTAAGGGTGCATGAAATTTCATTGAAAGTGAGAGTAAAAATGTACAATGCTACAAAAAATATATTTATTTCAAATAAATTCTGTTGTTATTTTTCTATTCAAATTTTTCAGAATCATGAAAAAATGCATCACTGTTTCCACAAAAATATTAAGCGGCACAACTGGTTTCAACATTAATAATAAGAAGAAATGTATAAGAAATAATAAGAAATGTATAATAAGAAATGCTTCTTGAGCAGCAAATCAGCATATTAGAATGATTTCTGACGGAGCATGTGACACTGAAGACTGGAGTAATGATGCTGAAAATTCAGCTTTGCGTCACAGGAATAAATTACAATTTACAATATATTAAAATGGAAAACAGTTATTTTAAATTGTAATAATATTTCACAAAATTACTGTTTTTACTGTATGTTTGATCAAATAAATGCAGCATGAAATATTTCTTTTAAAAACATTAAGGACCTTAAGAAGAAAAACCTTAAGAAGAAAAGTGGATTCTGCATAATATGGCTGTATTGGTGCTTTAAAGATGAGTTTCAAGAGACTTCACTGAGACGGTGGTACCATGTTAATAGTCTCACTGGTACTGCTATAACCAGTTAAAACCTCTATTAACCTACACCTCTAAATTCATCCCTTTTAAAGAAACACCACTAAATATATATAAAAAATAATAATCATCAACCTCACTAATTTCCTAGTTAGCTGTAGCTGTGGCTGTGTAATATTCAAGAACAAATGCTGTATCTGCCGTATAAATATTTAAAAGTTAGAACTAGAGAACAAATCACCTATCAAAATTTCTAAAAAAAAAAATAATAAAAAAATAAGACATTTACTCAATTTACTAAAAATGTATCTGAAAATATTTATCCATTTTCTTTCTGTTAGCACATTTATTGGTCAACGTGATCATTTCAAATTACCCAAATATCAGCCCATTAAATGGTCTATTATTAGCTAGAACCACCACAACATCAATCCTCCCCTACATAATATAAGGTGGATGGATAAAAGGTGCTATGTGACACATTAATGCTATTACTAAAGCTAGCAAACGCTGTACAATTCCACCACCTACACAGATCAAACACGCTTTCAACAAGTAGACAGCTCAACTAACCCATTTCCTCCATCTGAGGTCTAGGATGGAGCTACAGGGTTCAGACCTGGGGGAGCAGTGTCATGTACGTTACCTTTAGCTTACTAAGCAGGGTCCTTAAAGCCCTTTTCAGATCAGGAGTCTTCTCTGTGGGTGACACTCCCGGCCACTAAAGAGTCACACACAGCACCCACACGTCATTATGGAGTCAATGTGCACACGGTCAAACGTGGGGCCGAGATTCAGATTGTGTGTGTGTGTGTGTGTGTGTGTAGGTGGAGTGTAAGGCAGGTCAACACCTCAATCTGTGGATATGGTGCCACTCCACACACTCAACACATGCATATAGCGTGAGCAAGAGAGGATAGAGATCCTCCAAACAAATTTTGGCAGGTGAAACGGAAAGGATGCCTGTGTACTGGAATTGTATAACACACTTCTAGTGCTCTCTACTGAGTATTAGTGGTGATCAGCATCACATTTACCTGCTTTGATCAGTCTGGAAGTCGAATGAACATGTTAAATCAACATTTACAAAAAGAACACTATAAAGGGACAAATACGCCTTTTGAAATCCCATCAGACTTGTCATTCGTAATGGACCAAAACATTTCCACATGACTACAGGTCTTAGCAGTATTTATTTTATCCACAGAGAACCTTATTTTTTAGCAATAAACAAGTTTGGTTTTTCAAATATTTTTAGGTATTTAAAAAAAAAAAACCTAAGCCAAAAATAAAAGGCATCTGCAAAAGCAGGCACTGACAATCGTTGCTGGTACTGACCTCTCTGTCAAAATGGGATAGGGGGACACCCCCACAGTCAATGCCCCCTCCGGATGACAGCGAGCCATCAGACGTCATCTGCCGTTTGGTGGAACCGTAGCTGCCAACGGAAAGGTCCCGTCTCAGTGCACTGCCATTTTGAGAGGAGGAGCCTGGGATATGGGACAGCCATCAACAGATTTTTAAGACATTGATTTATTCAATATGAAAACCTGCCAAAGTTTGAAAGTAAAAAAAAAAAAAAAAAAAAACATTTGAAAGTTCAAAAGAGTGTTTGAAAATTAAAAAAAGAGTGTTTTAAAATTCTAAATATAGTCTGAAAATTCAAATGTTTGAAATTTCAAAAGAAAATATTTTGTAAAAGAAAGTTTACAGTAAGTTCAAAAGAAAATGAAACTTATTTTATTATAATTTAGTTTTGTCAGTTTTTCATTAGCTGTTCTACATTACATACCCAAATGCCCCTTAACAACAAAAAGACCTGTCTGACCACACGTACATGTCACTTTTAATTTACTTTCAAAATATATTAAAAACGTACCCTAAAATTGAATTTTAGGGAGAAAACAGGCACTCTGTCTAATTTAAATTTGAATTTTTTTCCTCTTTTTCCTCTTCAATGTTTCTACTAATTTAAAGGAGACATATTATGCCCCTTTTTACAATATGTTTATTTTAGATCTAAATAGTGTTCTGTGCTCGTCTGTGCAGCCAAATACAGAACAGTTAGCATGTTTTGCTCAAACTTTCGCCATGGCATTACACCGTTGTCGCTTGTGAAATAAAAATGACAGCGCCTTGGGTGTAAACTTATAGATTAAGGGGCGGTAATATTATAATGAGATCCCTTTGCCACGTCACCAGGGGAGCGAAATCAGACGCGCTCGTTTTCTCAGACGCTTGCAGAAAAAGGCTTACCAAAACAAAGTTACTGGGTTAATCTTTTACACATTTCTTTGATTGGTAGATGCACCGGGGACCTGATTATAGCACTTAAAACCTGGAAAAGTCAGATTTTCATGATATGTCGCCTTTAATGATTTTTCCTTACATTTATTTTTTTTCAGAAATACTCATTCTTATCCCTGTATCTCTGTCTATGAACAGATATTTCAATACTCACGTGCGCCAAGGCCGCCGCTGGCACTCATAGATCGGCCTGGTTCAGGCCTGGTCTTGCTGATGGAGGGAATACTGACGGATGCTCCCAGGACACCACGGCTCTCCTGAGGGCGCATATTCTGAACAACGCAAACACAGTCAGGAAAAGCCAGAAAAAAAAAACAATAAATAAAAAATTCACAAGGCAGGGGTAAAAATGTACCAGTGTCACTGTACATGATCTTAAATTATATAGCATTTTATAAATAATAAATCATTTTCTCACTTAGTTTTTGAATTATCTACATAAAACATGCAGAATACACAATCGTTTGTTCCCATTTATAAAACCCCATGAAATGATCAACTGGAGTTTTGTAGCTTATAATCCATGTCTGTTAGCTTTGAGGTCATATTGGCTATTTAATATTATTAATTAATAATATTTATTTAATATAAATATTAATATATACTAATATTTATATGATGTATATATTAACAATATAAATTGTATTAATATTTGTATGCATTAACTAAAGATGTACAAAAAATATTTTTTATTTAACTTAATTTGTCATTTAAATTTTTTTTAAATCAATATTTTTAATAATAATGCTAAAAAAATAAAGGGAGGGATGATTTAGCATGCAAGAATCTGACAGATTGTAAATTGAGAAAATGACATATAACTGTGATGCAGGCAGATAACTGGAACATAGATTGATAGTTTGAGCAATATGAAAGTGAGCTAATGCATGTGTGCATAAATTCAGCCTCTTCAGAGAACAGATGGAGAGTTGTCTGTATATGTCTCTCTGGTCCTACCAGAGAGCAGATGGAAGCAGGGGTCCCGGGGTCGGAGTTGAGGGACAGGGAGTGTGAGGAGAGAGGGGAGGAGTCCTGGGACAGGAAGTTGTCAGCAGAGGTGACAGTCATGTGATAGACATGCTCAAAGCTTGTAGGGGTGGAGATGAGGCGCAGGCGAGGAGAGGGGAGAGGAGAACCGGGCTACAGCGGAAACCCAGGAGGAGCAGATATAGAGAGAGAAATGGAAGAAAAAGAAAGAAAAAATATAGATGCATGCAACAGTTTTCTGCTTAAGAATGAGGAAGAGGTGAGGTTGTGTAAAAGACAACACGAAAGCAAAATCGACCATATTTACATCATAAATTTTGGTTGATCTAAAGGAAATAAAATTGTATTAACTAGTTTGCTTGAGCAACAAAGTCAAATGTGGTTTTATGTTATCTTTTAATCAAGCTCATCTATAAAACTTAAATAATAACAGTGGAAATAATTAATGAAAGATGGCTCATGCTCATTAACACAGCTCTTAGAAACAGATGGATGGAGGCGTAGAGAAGCGGGAGAAGAATATGAGAGGTGACGTTCCCCCTGCTGTTAGCTGCTCCTACCATTGGCAGATCTTTCAGGATCTGGATCCCGTCTCCCGGGCCCATATGAACCACATGGTTGAAGTTTGTTGGGTTTGAAATCAACTTATTCCTCATTTCTGGGTCTCTCAGCATCTCCCTAGAGGGCATAAACAATGCAGTGAGACCCAGAGCACCGTCTCAAGAAAAATTGCCAACATGAAACCTGAATTACTGAAGGGCTTTTCACACTGTGCTGAATAACCACGTTAACAGCACTAACCACCTTACATATTACGTAACCACGTAATTTATAATAACCAACAATTTTGGAGTTTGAAAAATATATATAATTCTGAAAACTCTTTTCACTTGAGTTTCAATAGGCCACATTGCCACTGTGTCCCTAAATGTCCTGGCTCTTCCAAGCTTTATAATGGCAGTGAATAGTGGTCAAGACTAACTGTTGTGCTCGCGTTCACGAGAGAGTGGCGTTCCAGCAGATGATGTAGGATGCAGGCGTAGTGTAAGCTCCGGTGAGAAGTGACTAACTCAGAAGCGCAGAGGAGAGAGAACAAAACAAAACACTGGTCACAAATTCCGACAGTTAGCGCAAGCTAGAGATTACGGTTTATAAAGTTTTAAATATGGATATTTTTCTTACACAAACGCATCGATTTTCTTCAGAAGGCCTTTATTAACCCCCCGGAGCTGTGTGGAGCACTTTTTATGATGGATGGATGCACTTTATTTTGCTTCAAAATCTCAACACCCATTCACTGCCATTATAAAGCTTGGAAGAGCCAGGACATTTTTAAATATAACTCCGCTTTTATTTATCTGAAAGAAGAAAGTCGTATACACCTAGGATGGCTTGAGGGTGAGTAAATCATTGGGTCATTTTCATTTTTGGGTGAACTATCCCTTTAATGCCATTGTCAAATTGCTGTGATTTATTCATTCATTAAATTAATCACAGCCTTTATGTATGTAAACCATATCTCGAAATCTATTTTATTTTATTTTGATATATTGTGCAGCCCTACTTTGTAAATATGCAAATAAGAACATTAACCACATTAAACATTAACTAACTAAACAAAATTATGATTAATATGAACATTTAACATTTCCCAGGGTTTAAAGTGGTCCAAATTAACAATTGTGAAAAGCCCATTAGAGTTTCCTTTGGAAGTCATGATGGTTAGTGTTGCTAGGCTTGAACATCACCTCCTCTGCAGAACTCTCTCCTCCTCCGGCACGCGGAACGAAAAGCGGCGTTTGCTCGTCATACTGCGTACCATCTGTTTGCGGCTGTTATCAGACGTCTCTGGCACCACCAGCTCATCTCCCTCTGCACATCATTACACAGAACACAAAGCATTACACACATTTCACAACACATTAAACAGTATGAAACAAAACAACAAGCATCCATTAGGATGTACAACTCTGTTATGTCATCACATATGCATGAGCTGATGCACATTATTCACAAGACACTACATATTAAGCCAATTCTTTACATTGTAACAACAAAATGAAATCAAAATGTACCCCATTTTTAGGGTGTTCATAATTTTATTCAAAATGCATTCGCTTTCTTTTCTCTTTCTCTGTTGTTTCTCTCTGAAACAAATTTCTTTTCATTTTCTTATCTTTTCTTTCCTGCTGAATATGCATAAAAACATGGGGCAGGAATATTCAGAATCCGGAGGAGCAGAAGGAAGAAGCGTCTCACCTGCTGTCTTGTTTTTAAAGTAGATGAGCCGTACGGTCTCCAGCCCCAGCAGGTTAAGAGAGCCATCGGCGTTCAGAGGATGAACCTGCAACGCAAGCGACACACAGCTCATTAACACACCGCACTTCAATTTACCACCTGCTTCAACATATATTTTATTTCACAGAGATGAGAAGCTCTCTCCAGAAGATGTCTGTCTTTCTTATAATGTGGTTTTGTATATATTAAGATACATGAAAAAAGGACCTTTTTCAAAGGCATCGTCTGAATCCACTCCATAGTGTTGACGTCAAATACATCCACTGCATTCTCACTATACACTGACAGATAAGGTGCATTATAACCTGCAAGACAAGAGTCACAGAAAACATTTTTACATTTTCAGTTTTGTTAAAATCACTAACCCTAAGTGTGAGAAACGGTCATCTTCACAAACATCACAAACTATTAAGCAATCTTGTCCACAGCATTCCTACATCCCAGGACATTTCGTGCAAATTATGGGCACAACATCCGCAACCAAACAATCGGTGACTATTATAAACTATGAACAAGCAATTACAACAATGCACATTCTCATCTTGAGTACATAGAATATCTAGTGTAATATTTTCATGAGATAACCTATTAAACATTATATTTTAAATATATATTATACTATATATATATATTTTACAATATATATTTAAATATTATATTAACAAAATAATCCAGCAGTATTGGCTGAGACTCTTTTTCTTTATTATTATGTATTATTACATAATATATTACATATAGACTCTACAAATATCAATAATATACTTAAGGTGTTTATTATATTATACTATAGACTATTTTTTTAATGAATTAATTACTTGATTATTATTATTATTACATATCATAATATATGTACAGTGGGTACGCAGAGCATAGTATTAAAATAAGGCTTGTCATGTACTTCCCGTTTGATGATGGAAATGTAAACCATAATTTCAAGTGCAACTTTCATCCTAAACCTTGTGGATTGATACTATCACACAGTTAAAAGTGAACACAAGCCATATTAATCAGTACAGAAATGGCTCTTTACTGGAGATCTCCACGGCGCAGAGAGCGTCCAGTCTCAGCTGCTCGATGAAGGCCAGGGTGTGATCGTCAGGGTGGAGGAGGCAAGAGGTAGTTCCATCCCCCTGAAGATTATAGCGCAGGAACCCGGACTGGAAGCCCACGCAGAGCTTGTCGCCCTGGAGACCCATCCACTGCACGGATCCCGGGACGAAAATATCCCGCAGCTTCCGATGACGTGTTTTGCTCTTGTTGAGCTCGTAGATCATCACCTTGTCAGGTTTTTTCATATACACAAAGAGGTATGTGAGAGATCCTTGTCTGATCGTGCCAGAAACCAGAGTTGGGCAGCCTTTGGTCTCTGCTATCTTGTGAAAATCGGCCTCACGGTCATCCAGGGCTGCCATTGGGTAGAGCCGCACATGGCCATTTCGGCCCGATATCACAGCGATTAACTGTTCTGATGGGATCAGCTCAATCTGACGGACCTTCTTATTGTCTCCTACCTTGATAATATCTGTGAACAGGAATATATAAACAATAAGAGGCTTTGTATTAGCATCAAAGAATGCAGTAAGACGCCTATATATACAGTCTAAATGCAGCAGATAAGTACAGTAAACACAGATAAAGCTTTTAATTACACTTACCATCTTTGGTAACGTGAATAACGTACAATCCTTCCTCATTGCCCAGGGCTATCCTCTCATGATCTGCAGATAAATAAAAACACAGTTAAAATAAACAGAAAGCAAAGTTTGATAACGCTAGGCTGGATTGAGCTTGACTAGCGCAGACTAATTCGTAAATTGTTATTTTATTAAAGAGGATTTTTCTTGCTCTTTTGAAGTACAAACATTCAATGTATTAACATACAGTATATCATGTTATTAAAAACTATTCAAACTACCTTTATATATTATTATTTTATTCATTACGTTATAGAACACACACACACACATATATATATATATATATATACACATACATTTATATGCAGGGGTGCACATACGTAAGTGGTGCACAGCTGCGCATGCACGACCAAAATAAAAAATGTGCTGTTAATGCACAATCACTGTTTTAGATAGACTAACTGTAAAACTGTATAAGATTTCCATTCAAACTGAAAGCATAAATCTAGGCTACGCGCTACCAGTTTCAGAGCAAAATGCAACACGGTGACATTCACTGACATGCCTCACTTTGCAGCACTAAAACCGGCAGTGCATAAACTTACTTGCCGGCAACACGCCAAAATAACAGCTAAAAAGAAAAATAAATAAAAACTAAAAAAAAAATTTTTTTTTTTTTTTAAATATTAGCATTGCATTTTTTAAGTGTACTATAAATTAATTGTATTTTTATTTAATACTCATGTTTTATTTTATATTCATATTTTGTATTTTATTTTAAAATATAATTGCATTATCATTCATTTATTATTTTATTTTTTAAATAAATAAAGTGCAATAACACTATTATTACTTATTTTTTTATAGTTATATTTAATGGGTCACACTATGTGCAGTGTAATATATGTGTTCTATAATGTAATGAATAAAGGGGAAAAAAAAAACTATATATATATATATCTGCAATTACATATGGAATTCTTCACTATGACTGGAAACTAAAACCAAGATTAGTGGTACATGTGGTTGATTGTACCTATAATAGCAGCAGACTGTGTGGTTTTGATGAGAGGCAAGGTACTGTCATACGCTTCTTTAGGGGCGTAAACAAAGCGTTCTTTCAGTTTGCTCTTCTTCAAGAGACGGTGCAGCTCGTTCAGTAGGCCGACCCACTTGGTTCTTTCCTGATCGCTGTCAGCCAGGATCAAGATGGAGCATTTCTTATTGCTGGATGAAGAGAGTTGTGATGCAGTGACCTGCAGGAGAGGAAGAGGAGGACAACTTCCAAATGTATCACCTTTATTTTTCTTAAGTTACAATACAAAACTAATGTTATCAATATGAAGTTTTGATTAAACAACAACAACAACAAAAAATCCTCACCCTAAAAATACAGGGAATGTCCTTCCTGTTCGCATGAATGACATCTGATGCCAAAACTGAGCTAACAGAAAATTCCTCATCCCTGAAACCAAAAGAGCGATTCAGATGTCATGCAAACGCAGTAATCAGAATCAAACACAGGCTCAGATGTTTGTTTTGACGCCCTCGCTGACCTCATGTCAATGACCTGGTTCACCATGACACCAGGCTGAGCAGCTTTGCCCTCTGGGAGATCGTATAAGAAGAGTTTGAAGTCACAGACCACAGCGATGGCCCTCTGCCATCCCTTCTTCACACCTAATGGTTTGGGCACCTGAAAGAAAAGATCTCAGAATTAGTTCTCAACTAATTGGGAACTTTTTCCTAATATATATCCAATATAGCAGTATTATCTTTGGCAGCAGATAAATATTACAGGATGAAATTATAACCTTCCAACTTATGTCTGCTCCATTTTTCAGACTAAATGTGTATCTGATAATTGTTCATTTTGATCACAAAACTTTCCTGGGAATTTAAACTAAAGCTTCTAACCTTGACGTGGCCCTCATAAGCTGTGCCGATGCCCTTCTGGGGGTCGATACCCAGAGGTCCTTTGGTTTGATCAGGAGGAATCGGACAAACGGCAGGAGCTTTGTCCGCACACGTCACGTGACAGGAGAAGTTACAGACTGCAGAAGGAGGAGAACAAGGTGAATGCCAATCTTAACACTATTTACCATATCCATGACAACCTCAGCTGCTACCGTAGTGACCCCTCACCTTCACACGTACAGCCCTGTCGGATAAGTCCCACCATTAGAGACGTACACTGGTTACATTTAGTGGGCGCATTGAAGGTCTTCACCACAAACTGATGGGCTTTTGGCTAAAAAGAGCAATTTAGAACACTATAAATTACAGCATATCACAGAATATAAGATCTGGCTGATATGAAATGAAAGTAGACTTAGAAATAAAGTTTCTTTATTAGCGTCGATTTTATCATGAAGAACCTTTAACATTCATAGAACCTTTCCAATGCACAAAAGGTTCTTTATTTTTTAGATTATTAAAATGTTCATATTGGTGGTTCTATGGTATCATAAAAAAATAGTATTGTAAAAAAAAAAAAAAAAAACCTTATGGAACCTTTATTTTTAGGAGTGTAGGAGCAAAATAAATTAGTGAATGAATTACTTTAGGTGTGCTGTGACCAGAGCTACTGTATCCTGACCGCATGGGAGTTTGTGCACCTCGTTGTGGCTGATCTACCTGCTGGAAAAACAGTCACGGATATTAGTCACAACATGATACCATCCCAATAGAAACATTAAAGTAGCATCTGTATTGTCTCTTTTCTTGAATGAAGCTCTGTTCTAAAACCTACTGATCTGCCTATTTAGACAGCCTTATAAGGCATCATAGGCATGATTTTGGCTTCGTTGTAAGGTGGCATCCGATGCATTTACTGTGGATAAGGCAATCACAGAATGCACAGAAGCAAAGTGTTACGTTTCATCCACAGCGGCATTGGAATATACTAAGTTTCTAAGTCACTAAGTTTCAAAACAGAGTTTTAGCATTGTTAAGGGGGTCAGAAATTGAGAAGCCACCTCTTGAGACTCCATATCGCTGGTGGTTGAGGGTGAGCGAGAGTGGGACGTGACCTGGGATCTTCCATCTTCCTCCCGGGATGGTGTGTTGGACAGGCTGAAGTTATCGATGGAGTCGATCTATTGAGAAGGTTGGAGAAAGGAAATGTTTAGAGAGCAGATCCAAACGTACCATGGAAGACCCAAGACATGCCTGCTAAATGTAACACAACAGGCTGCTTGAAAAACACATCATGCACATTAGACACAAGACGGAGGTTTAAAAAACATTTCCAAGACCCAAACACCATGTCAATAACGCCTGACAGCAAAGCAAAGCACTGCTGAACACAAACGCCACATGTCTGTTTCACAACAAGCTTCACAAGTTTTAGAAACAGCAAAAGTGAGTTAGAAGTGGAGTCATCGGTTGTGGAATGGAATAAAACCTCCATTGGTAATGCAAGATGAATAAAACAAAATACTGCATATGTATTAGCCACAGAAAGTGTCAGTTTGTAATCCAAATGCGCATGATGAAGACAAACTGAGGTAAAATGGACTCTGAATGTGACAAACAAGCATGTGCACTTGAAAGACCCTCTGGGAAATGTGGCTATGTAGCTTATGCCACGCAGACATGCATCAAAGTCACACAATCCAATCAGTGTACAGATGAACCACTGCACCAAACACTGCATCAAAAAGAGCTTACACGTCTGCCTTTGCCGGCTGGCCCACAGGCAGTGGAGCGCTTCATCACAGACAAAAACAGACAGATAGGAGGAGAGAAAGAAATAAAAAGAGAGCAAACAATATATGAACACAGAGAACAGGATTCATACACACACGCACGCACACTCGCTCGCTTTTAAAATGACTGTCTCAAAAGCCCAGAAGTAATAATCGAGAATGTGTTTCAGCCAGTTTAATTTCAATTTAATCCACACTAAACCATTTAAAGAGAATATGAGAGGAAACAGAAATATCAATAAAACCATTTTTGCCTGAATAACAAATGAAAAGGCAGACAGAATGAATTAATGTTACAAAGCCAAAAGCGATGAGCGCTTCGGCTGTGATCCTAAACTAAAGCCACATGTCAGTGCTTTAAATACCTACATCAAACTGATCCAGGGCAGAGGTCGGAGCATTGAGGAATGCCAGGAAGGAATTCTGGGAGTCTTGGTGCTTGACCCCTGAAAAACATAACATGACTTAGATGTCACATACAAGCATAAACCGTCTAAACAATATCAGGCCTGTCACTGAAATTTTGCCTGATTGATTTCAAATGTTTGTGAGACCCTCTGGGAAATGTGGCTATGTAGCTTATGCCACGCAGACATGCATCAAAGTCACACAATCCAATCAGTGTACAGATGAACCACTGCACCAAACACTGCATCAAAAAGAGCTTACACGTCTGCCTTTGCCGGCTGGCCCACAGGCAGTGGAGCGCTTCATCACAGACAAAAACAGACAGATAGGAGGAGAGAAAGAAATAAAAAGAGAGCAAACAATATATGAACACAGAGAACAGGATTCATACACACACGCACGCACACTCGCTCGCTTTTAAAATGACTGTCTCAAAAGCCCAGAAGTAATAATCGAGAATGTGTTTCAGCCAGTTTAATTTCAATTTAATCCACACTAAACCATTTAAAGAGAATATGAGAGGAAACAGAAATATCAATAAAACCATTTTTGCCTGAATAACAAATGAAAAGGCAGACAGCATGAATTAATGTTACAAAGCCAAAAGCGATGAGCGCTTCGGCTGTGATCCTAAACTAAAGCCACATGTCAGTGCTTTAAATACCTACATCAAACTGATCCAGGGCAGAGGTCGGAGCATTGAGGAATGCCAGGAAGGAATTCTGGGAGTCTTGGTGTTTGACCCCTGCAAAACATAACATGACTTAGATGTCACATACAAGCATAAACCGTCTAAACAATATCAGGCCTGTCACTGAAATTTTGCCTGATTGATTTCAAATGTTTGTGTTTTTACCTTTAGACGTGCGCAGACTCTCAGTTTCCTGTTTCAGCTTCTGGATCTCTGCCTGAAGGTCCTGGTTCTTCTTTTCCAACTCCTCCAGCTTGCTGTGCAGAAAAAAAAATCAGACACAGTATGATGAGCATAACCTGATTAATATGCCAACATATGGCCATTTTTAGATCATCAATGTTGGCTAAAGGTCAAATAACATTTTACTGAACTATTAAAGCCTACTGAGTGTACAAGATCATCGAAACAGAAAAAATGTAGGCTTGCATTCATTTGCCACCATTTTTGAGTGCAATGTCGACATCTCAAAATTGAACCAACATCAGATGGATCGAAAAAAAAAAGTCGCCAAGCTTACATTTTACTGTAATAATGCAAGTTTGTGGGGGCGAGAAGATTGGAGTTACGATATTTTGATTACAAATTATGAAGTAAAAAAATATATAAATATGTAAAAATATATAATCGTTTGCAGTAAGATCGATAACATGCATCTAGAAAATACATAGGGTGAATTTTCATTTCATGCTGACTTCAATAATTAAAGAAATAACAGATATCTAAGTGCACATTTTTCATTTCTCATGTTTTAAATTAAATTCAAATGTAATATATTGGAAGCTTTAAAGGAGAGATGCATGTTTTACCACTCAGTGGCCATATGCGATGCTTTGACTTTGTTGAGCTCATCTTGGATGGTTTGCTTGGCTCTAATCTCGGCATCCAGTGCAGACTGCAGCTCCAGACGCGCAGACATGTCCAACTTAGCCAAACGTCTCACCTTCCATGGCATGTCCTGGAAAACCAGAAGAAAATAGAATTAAACACCCACTGGCTCACAACGTACAGCAAGAGTGGGTGCCATCCATATGTTTTAAAGTTTAAAAATATTGCTGTTCATTTCTTAAACTAAGCACTAAGTTAAGTCAAGATCAAAGTTTCGCTGTAAAGGGACTCTTACAGTAGCACGTGCACCCAGACTGGCGTTCCTCAGGCCTTCCAGTTCATCTGTCATCTTAGTGGCCAAAGCCTGCAGATAACCTCGAGCATCTTTCTCATCACTGACCCTGAGAAAGAAACACAGATGCACAGAACTGCACTTACAAAACATCACCACTAGATGGCCCCACGGCTACACAAATACCAACGGTTTGGTGCCAAAGGAGCACAAGTGCAATTACAATTTATTTGCAATTATGCAAAGGAGTAGCGACCATAATGACCATTATTTTACCACTTTTTGGGAAATATTCATTCTATTTTAGGATTTTCAGCCACTGTGCACTGAAAAAAAACAACAAGAATGATTTTAGGACCAAGCAGAAGCTTCTGCCGGCCATTTGCTTCAAGTCGTGGACTGAACAAACATGAATGTAATGATCTGCTATGGTGAATGCCTACTTATTTGCCTTTTAGCAAGAACTACTGGGCTGTTATGTCAATTAATATTAATGAGTCAAGCTGATAAGGTTTATAATGGGTCCCCACCCCACTCCTTTCTGATCAATCTTCAAGTTCTGGATTTGTGCATCCTGCAAATGATCTGATGCATTAGATGGCACCAATAAATTTTGTATCACGAACACTTCCAAAAGCACAAGTGAGGTTGTTTTTGTAAATACTAATTGTGTATGTTTAAAATAGCTATACTTTTGAGGATACAAATGTCTGAAAAAATTATTCATAAAAGTGAAGAAAAAAAACTTATAGTGACATCTTCATTCCCGCTGAATTCACCATTTTAGTGTGGGTAATATTAATAATATTAGTTCTAGCGCTCTCCTGATTGCCTGCCAAAATGGTGGAGTTTAGAGTGCGTGACGTCAACCTCTGGAGCTCTATACAAACAAGAAATGATGGCGGAAAATATACTTTTCAACTAAATTAAAACGTTTTAAATAAATACAATGACCTACTGATGTTTTAATCATGTTACTTGTCTGGTGTTAATGAAGCGTTAATGTCGAGTCCTGGAGTCTATGTGCCGGGGCTCAGCCCCGGACGGCCCAGGCCCAATTTAAACCCTGGTTTTCTCTCAATCTAAGCAGAGTTGAGCCAAACCTATGTGTCACAGGACAGATCATAGTCTAAGAGAGTCGATTCCAGTTTTAGACATGAGAGTGAACAGCAAGGTAATAGTGTGTGTGTGTGTGTGTGCATTTCTCACCACTGAATGATTTCTGTGATCTGGGCCTCCCAGTGTGCCACACTCTCTTTCTTATCAGCCAGTTCTCTCATCTCCTCCTCCAGCTGCTTGTGACTGCAGCTCAACTTCTCAAACGACGACATCATCTACACACATACAAAAATTTTTTTTATTGAATATATACACTACTGATCACTACTTAATTGATCACTACTTGATTAACACTTCTATTCAGTAAGGATGAATTAAATTGATCTTAAAGGGGTCCTATTATGCTTTTTCACTTTTTTTATTTTAGTCAGTGTGTAGTGTGTATGTTTGGCCATAAAAAAGATCTAGCAAGTTACAAAGTCCACTCCAAAGGGAGGTATTTCGTTTTTAAAAAATCACTTTTCAAGAACTACAACGAACGGCTCGTTTGGACTACAGCGTTTATTTTCCGGGCTTTGTGATATCATGAAACACCAAGCATGAGAGCATGTTCTAGTACACCCCCAAAACAAAATCAAGACTTTGTAAAAGAGCATAATAGGACCCCTTTAAGTGACATTAAAGACCTTTATAATGTTACAAAAGATTTCTATTTCAAATAGTTTTTTTCAATTGCACTTTCTATTCATCAAAGAATCCTGATAAAAATGTGTCCAGTTTCCACAAAAATATTAAGCAACTATTTTCAACATTGATAAGATATGTTTTCTTGAGCATCAAATCAGCATATTAGAATGATATCTAAAGGATCATGTGACACTGAAGACTGAAGTAATGATGCTGAAAATTCATCTTTGCATCACACGAATAAATTTAATTTTAAAGTATATTCAAATAGAAAAATGCTTTTTTTTAAATTGCAATAACATTTCTCAATATTACTGTTTTTACTTGTGTTTTTTGATTAAATAAATGCAGCCTTGATGAACATAAAACAAAAATCTTAACGACCCCAAATAATAGTACATGCTTTTAAATGGGGGGGGGCAATGACTGACTTCCCAGTAAAACATTGGCATGGTGGACCTTATCTTCAGCTCAACGGATTCATGTAAAGACTCCACAAATGACAACGGCTTGTGTTTGTTCTTTCACAACTGAGTGCTGCCCTCCAATACCCAGAATTAATTTATGGTTTTAAAAAAGAGCATCAACTCTGACCGCTAAGAAGCAAAGCCTCCTGTTATCTTCAGTGTAATGACCACATCAAAAGCGACGTGGAATCTGTGACTTCAGGCTTCAGTAATACGAGAGATGGAGGTTGTGGTTTCAGGGTTGTGGGTCTATGTGTGGGGTGGCGTGTTAGCGTTACACAGCATCCTGGAGCCACAGTAGGGTCAAGTATCTAAGCCTAAAAATACTGGTGCGCCACAAAATGGAAGTACAGTTTTACAATATCCACTGCTGTATGTGCAGTAGCTACAATAGTTTGCACAGCAAAAGCTTCATTTAAAACTATTGTATGTCTGAAATAATCTAAAAGAATATAGGAACAGGATTACAAATACGTGAGAATTTATTGTCGACTGTAATTCGAGAAGACTTAAGATGACAATACTCATCACACACTCTTTACATATTTCAGCTGGTTTAATATTGTGTGATATGATTAAAACCAAAGTGAAATGCAGTTTTCAACCCATTTCACTTTTATAATGTGATGATTGAAACCGAATATTCAGTGAGAAAATGTTAAGGAATAAGACTTGATTTTATTTATTGGAAATTATTGGAGAACAAGAGGGTGTTATATCAGAATAAAGAAAAGAGTGCGATAGCAATAAGTTTTAAAACCCGGAAAAGTCAATGAGTTTTTTAAAGGAGCACTCCACTATTTTTGAAAATAGGCTCATTTTCCAACTCCCCTAGAGTTAAACAGTTGAGTTTTACCGTTTTCGAATCCATTCAGCCGATCTCCGGGTCTGGCGGCAACACTTTTAGCTGTAGCTTAGCATAGATCATTGAATCTGATTAGACTGTGACATGATATTACGCTGCAATAATCCAAAAGCCAATTGTCATTTTGTTGAGGGAAGCAGGGTGATGCAAACTTCGAGGTTGGCCAACAAAAATATGTCATCCCTGCAGCGCTCTATATGAGTTTCCTACAGCAATGCCTAAATAGCTATTTGGCTATTGGTTTACTTCATCAAATTGCCTGTTGTGCCTCAGTGACATCAATGGAAAAGCGAATTCATTTCAGAGTTATTTCATTTTAAAAACGATTACAAATAAATTTTTCTTTGAAATAACCTGCATCAGCGCATTAAGTAAATGAACTGCTGAATTTCATGTTGACTTTAAGATATCATGACAGCCCTAGGAATGTGTGAATTTTCACCTTGTCAAGTTCGCTGGAAAGTTTCTTGTTCTCCTCTGACAGCAGCACTCGCTCTCTCTCGTACTTCTGTTTGTAATCGGTCTCAAACTCCTCTCGTTCGCTCTGACTGTGAGGGTGAAATGATTTATTGAACATCAGGGTTACTGCACTCAGCATCCAACACACACTGCCAACATACTAACACAAGCCAAATTCCATAGCTTATTTTATGGAACATATTCTATGCTGTATTTTTATTTCTTCCCCTAAAGTCCACTTACAATGTTAGTCAAGGTTCCTTGCACCACAAATGATTGCAATTTAGTTTTACATGACCACTTTCCAAACTCTCTGACCGTTAGATTTATCAAGTCAAATAATACATGGTGATGTTTTAAAACAGCTAAAGTAAAGAACAGTACCTCTCTCGGCGGGTCTTCTCCAGCTTGTCTTTGAACATCATGATTTCTTTCTTTAAGGTGAGCTGCTGTCCCTCTGACTCCCGGAGCTCCTTCTTCAGGTTCTTCAGTTCGCTGGCATGTTGCTGTTCTCTCCGTGACAGCTCTTCCTCATAGAACGTGGTCTTGTTCTCCAGGTCTGCTCGTAATTTACTGAGCTCCTGGTGCTGCTCAGATGACCCAACACTTGGAGAATGGCCCACCTGCTTCTGCTGCTCAACGACACAGAGAAAGTATAGAGATCATTTCAAGTTATGACAGTATTAAATGCAATGACTGTTTTGTGAATGGAATGAATGAATGTAAACCTTCTCACGTTATAAAATAACTTAATAATTAAATAAATGTAAATAATGTATGAACTATAATAAAAATAATGTAGTAAAATTAATAATGAATAAAAAAAGTATTAATATTTAAGGTAAATAATTTATGACTTTTAATAAAATGATGAATTAAAATTAATAAAACAAAAAATAAAAATAACATTCATTTTAATAATGCATTAAACAAATAATTAATAACTAACTAATTAATAACTATTTATTTATATACTTGTATTAAAATAATTTATAAACTATAATAAAATAATGAATTCAAAAATGTAATTCATTAATAAAACAATTTATTACTTACTCATATTTAAACAAATGCTGAATAATTAAATAGTTAATTAAAATTAATAAAACAATTAATAAAAACACTTACATTTAAATAATTCTATGACAATATATTAATAAGAAATACAAAATAATGTAAATAATTGAAATTCAAATAATTAATAAACAACAAATTAATTATATAATTAAATTTAAATAATTTATTAATTATAATTTTACACACTTTCATACTGACCTGTGATTATTACGTGTAATTTATTGAACATTTGAGTCCTTTATTATATTGCAGTTATTGCCATTTAATAAAAGCAAGCCAAAAGATGCCACACTGTACTCCTATGTAAATTTTCCATGCTTGAGATGTTGCATTGTTCCTAACACCCCCTTAACAGTATTTAGAGAGAAAAGGTGTGTTTGGGTACACAAACCTTCATTCCCTCCAGCTCCTCTTCCAGCTGTCTGCTGTACTGCTCACTGCGTTCCCTCAGCTTCTTCTCTTTCTGAGTCTCAGCAGAAAACTCTTCAGCCTGGGCCTCCATCTACACACACAGTCACAGAGTTTGCACAAATGTAATGTATGAGCCCGCTGAACAGACTCCTGCGATCAGCCGTTCTCCTCCACACTAACCTCTTTCTTGGCCCGCTCGGCTTTGCGCACTTCTAGCCGTAGTGCCTCCACCTTCTGATTGAGGGAATCCATCTCCTCCTCTTTGTCCCGGAGCTGTCGGGAGAGTCGTTGCTTGTATGACCGCAGCTCCGTCACCTTCTCGCTCACCTCTGCAAACTCCTGCATGGCCATTTTCCTCTGGCTGTCCGCCTCCTTCAGCTCCTTCCCTTGAGTCTTCAACTTCTCTGAGGATTCCTGCAGACCCTGTAGACAAACATATCACAAAGTTAAAACAAAAAAATATATAAAAGCAATTTATCAATTAAATAATTACTTTTAAATTATTTATTAATTATACATTATTATAATAACGCATTACATTAAAAAAAAAACTTAAATTAAATTAAGAATTTATTAACACTTTCATACCAACATGTGATTATTGCTATCAATCTACTTATTTATTGAACATTTGAGTCTTTTATTATATTGCGGTTGATGTTGTTTAATAAAGCAAGCCAACAGACATAACACGGTACTCTTAATAATAATATATAATTTTATTCATAATTATAACAATAATAATTATTAGTATATTAGTAGTAATAGTAGTAGTAAAAACAAGTATAAAAATGACTAAACAAAACAGAAGAAATATTAATATTGTAATGTTTCACTGTAAAATTTATGAAAAATATTTATGAAAAATAGTATTATAATAATTATTTTACATTACAACTATAAAATTACAATACTAATATTTATGGCTTTCATAATTTTTTCACTTTCAAATGTTAAACCATCAAATTGTTATTTTATATAATGGTTTATATATATATATATATATATATTTTTTTTTTTTTTTTTTTTTTGTTAATAAGCATTTCTCAATACAAGTATGGGTTTAGTTTGAAACAAACAGAGCACATGTATTTATTTAATTAAATTGCAGCCATTGCGATTTGTTAACCGCACTAAGCCATATCACGATTTTGACTTTTGATTATTTGTAATCAAATCTCTGCAGCAAGGCACTTTGCTAATGAGAGGCATTGCTTATGTGAAGCTGCAGTTAAAGTTGTACCTTCTGCAGGTCATCTCTTTCCTGCTTCATGATCTTGAGCTGTTTCTCCAGAGATCGGATCTGTTTGGAGGAATCCTCCAGATCTCTGCGGGCAGAACTGGCCTGTTCTAAGTGCTGCTCCACCTGTCCTGTATCTGTAAGGGGAGAAGAGGAGGAGAGAGACAAAAATATAAGGCAGAAGCACAAACAATAATGTGAGAGAGTAAAAATATTGTTTTTTTTTTTTTATTTCATTTGAAACACAACTGTAAACGTCATGTAAAAAAACAAATCTTGGTCAAAACTAATGTCTGGTTACATGAGACATTTGTGTGATGTATGTTGATATCTAGTGTTTGAGATTACCTGCGATCTGTTTCCTTAGCATTTCTAACTCCTCCTTCAATCCACGGATCTCAACTTCTCTGGTGGAGGAAGCAGGTCCGTCCCCGCTGGAGTATTGCAGAGCCTGAACCGTTTTTGTAGACTCTGAAGACCAGAAGACATTAAAGCTGTCAGCCAGGCAGAGAGCTAACTTTGTGGGATTGTTTCCACAGAAAATAACCTAAAAGGTCACAAGACATGTAAGACAGACAGACACCTTGTAGTTTGCGACTGAGCTCCAGCTTCTCCTGCTCCAGACGGCGGATCCTCCGTTCGTACGCCTCAGTAGCCAGACTGTCCTCCAGGCCGCGCTGCACGGACACATCCATTTGTGCAGGTGCTGCAGACTCCCGCAGACAACCGCGGTCAGACAGCGTACTGCAGGAGAACAGAGGGTCAAATGATCACAACAGAGACTCATGAGGCTGGTTTTTGTTTTAACCATCCTGTGTTAAAGGAGTCATATGATGCGATTTCATGTTTTCCTTTGTCTTTGGAGTGTTAAAAGCTGTTCGTGCATACAGAAGATCCGTAAAGTCACAAAGATTAAAGTCTCAAACCCAAAGAGATATTCTTTATAAAAGTGAACGCTCATCCATGCCTTCCTAAAACGCCTAGTTCAAACATATCTTTTGTGACCCACATATCTACGTAACACACAGTGACCCACATATCTACGTCACACACAGTGACCCCCATATCTACGTCACTGTGTGGGAAGATTTGCATAACACCACCCACGCACACGCAAATATTCAAGTGTGTGCAGCGCATTTCCTGAACCTGGTAAGGGGCGTAAAGTTTCCATCACATGTTTGAGGTATTCGGCCAATCACAACGCACTGGATAGCTGGCCAATCAGAGCACACCGCCCTTGTTAGACCGATGAGCTTTGTAAAAATCGACACGTTTCAGAAAAGCGGGGCATAGAGGAGAAACAATAATGTACAGTATGTGGAAAATAATGTGTTTTTTGAACCTTAAATCGCATAAACACATTGAATTACACCAAATACACAAAATAATGTTATTTTTAGCAATGTCATATGACCCCTTTAAACTGACTGGAAAACACCAGGAGGGTTAAATAGAGGGGGAATAGGATTGCAACACCATGCAGGCCGGATTTGAACCTGCATCTGTAGCATGATCATCTCAGTTGAGTTTTACAGTAATATCTTACCAGCTGCTGGTGTAGGTAAATCCTACAAATGGGAGATGGTGTCCTGAGAAGGCGGTGTGGGAAGGAGGTGGCATTGTCTCCTAAAACAGAGCAGGGATCACAGCATTATGTTAAAATCATAGCATTATGTTCAAAGATCTGGGTTGATAAACCAAAGGTTGTGGTTTAAAGGTTCAAACCCAGCAATGAGTGATCTTATTAATGTAAGTCTAAAACAAAAGTGCAATATACTACCGTGTTCTTGAGGCAGTCGTCATCCACATCAAAGTTTGACGTGTCAGATGGGCTGCTGACTTCAGGGATGTAGGGGGCGTCACAGTTGCGGATGTTTTGCCAGTCAATGCCGGAAAAGAAGGGGTGCTGTTTGAAGTCCTCAATGCCGTTCTGACCCAACCTGTGCTCTCTGCAGCAGATGAGTCTGCGGATCAGGTCTTTGGCATTTTCAGAGACGTCCGTCACATGAGCAGGGAACTGGAACCGCTCCTGCGTGAAACACAATATTAAAGACACAATATTAGAAGGTTTTCATGACATTTTTAATATAAATAAAATAAAATATGGCTAATGAACTGAAGAATTGCTTAAATTGTGTTTTGTGTGTTCGGTTTTCATGATACTATATGACTTTTAATATAAATAATATAATTAACCATATAACATTATAACAACATAAAATAAAAATCACTGCAGAGCATAGATTATTGTTTTAAAATAATACTGCTATGGCTCTGTACCTTGTGGTTCATAATCTTTCCATACGTTTCCACCAGGGACTCTGCATAGAAAGGAGTTTCCCCGTACAGCATCTCATACATGCAGACGCCCAGTGACCACCAGTCACATTCCGGGCCATATTTCCCTTTCCCGTCCTCCATGGCCTGCAGGATCTCAGGAGAGATGTAGTCTGGAGTGCCCACAGCGACAGAGGACTGCACCTGTGAGAACAGAAAATGGACATGCTGGAAAGTTTGACTGAAGGAAAGGTTGCATATTGCACACAAAACTGGAACACATCTTCTTAATCTAACAAGATTTAAGCAGATCTTTGAATTTACACTTGCAGCAGTAAGGGCGTATCTATTTTATCAATTCTTTAGAACCAAAGTCGAGTTTACAAGGAACTGGTTGGCCCAACACACTTTTTAGGAATAATATATATTATGGCAACCATAAGGTCCATAACTTTTAAATTCCCATACATGTCTTGCCTGGGATTTCTAAATTGCCTAAAATGTCAGATCTTTGAATTTACACTTGCAGCAGTAAGGGCGTATCTATTTTATCAATTCTTTAGAACCAAAGTCGAGTTTACAAGGAACTGGTTGGCACAACACACTTTTTAGGAATAATATATATTATGGCAACCATAAGTTCCATAACTTTTAAATTCCCATACATGTCTTGCCTGGGATTTCTAAATTGCCTAAAATGTACAGGGTTTGGCTTTGTTTTGCTATTGACGTGTGCTCTACAGTCTTCATGCATTATATGTCTTCATATTTGCATTGCTTTTTGAACCGCTCTCTGTAAATCCCACCTTTTTGCATGCCATGATTGGCTGATTATGTACAATGCCTGCACGCTATTGGTCAAACTACTTTTCAGTCATTACCGTATGACCTCAAGTATGAAAACAAGACTATATATTCAAGAGGAAATGTACAGTATTTTCTGCTTTGCTCTCTTAAGTCTTAAAGTCTGTACTAAAATGTTGTCATGTTCTGCTATTTTTCATATATATTCTGTACAATCACTCACAGAGACTTTATGTAAGAAAAAGTCACTTTTTCACAGAAATTTATATTATGTAAATACATTTTTGCCATTTAGTTAAGAGTCTGGCTACCTTTTAAAGATCTGTCTAGTTGTCTTTAAACTTTAATTCTTGTCGGATCCCCCCCCAAAAAAAAAAAAGTTTTATATTGTCAAATCAACTGACCAAAAAAAATCAAATAAATCTCTCTCTCTCTCTATATATATATATACACATATATATATATATTTTAAACGATGCAGTTCATTTGGGTGAATCTCATAAACTGTCAAGAACATGTACAGGTCATATTACACAAAAAATAAGGTAGTAATAGAAAATATGATACTTTGCATAAATAAAATAAATCTTTATGTAAAGGTTTTTTTAATTTAATACTTTTTACTTAATTTAATTAAAAAAAAAAAAAACTTTTTTTTCCCATTTTAATTTTATGACGACATGTGAACGGATATATTCCTGACAGGTTTCGTGAGATTTATATATTTACTGTGGTGTTTGTTATTAAGACTGCAGGAGAATTCAGGACCTGGCATGTTGAGATCAGAAACAGAGAGGCGTTCGGTGTCTGTCTGAGCAGATCAGATCACATCACATCCTGTCAGTGAACAAGGTTGCAAGCAAAGTAATCCCTGGAAATGTTTTTTTTTATTGGCACAACACTCATCACTATAAAATGCAAATGAATGACTCAAGCCATCACATTGGTTGCAGCCAGCAGAGGTGGGCGTGGCTTAGGGGAACATGACAGTCAAAGTATTCAGATACACAAAGACCTCTCAGAACACAGACCGCACTGAGAGAGAAAAAGAGAGAGGTATCACTAGAGACCACTAATGAACGGGGGATGATTGGAGCTTCCTGGCCCGGGTTCAAGGGGGCTGAGCGGGCGGAAACCGTCTGTAATGCAGCCTGTGGCAGATGTGTGCAGCTGGAAGAATTTGTGGAAGTGAGGCAGTAAATTAGCTGCTCTCGCTGGCAGTGACACACACTTGAAAACACACGGACATGTGAAGAGCGTTAGGCACACACGTGCGAACACGCAGAGACCACACTCACGCTGCTCTTGTCAGAAGTCGGGGGGATATCCTGCCGAGCTATCTGTGACATGCCAGAAAACAGCAGCACATATCAGATGAAATACTCACCCCTGCTTCAAAGACGTGTGAAATGCAACTCTGATCATAAACTGCCTTTCAAACCAAGGGTGTCCTCTGGGTCTCCCATTATTTTATATTAAAACAATGGGCCTGGAGGATAGCGCTGAAGCCCAATTTCATCAACTGATTTTTTTTGACAAGCACAACTCGGAATTTAATGTCCAAGCACTTCCCATCATAACACTAGGTGAAAGTTGTCGGGTGACCTAAAATTCCCTCTGTATCATGCACTGAAACTATGAGAACAGGCGTTATTTTTAAAGGACTGATTGACACACACAACAATCAAAAAAGTTTGGGGCTGGTAAGATTTTAAAATATTTTTTGCTCACAAAGGCTGCATTTCTTTGATTTAAAAAAACCCCAGTAAAATAGTAATATTGTGAAATGTTTTTACAATTTAAAAGAACTGTTTTCGATTTTAATATATTTTAAATAAAAATATTTATTTCTGTAATGCAAAGCTGAATTTTCAGCATCATTACTCCAGTCTTCAGTGTCACATGATCCTTCAGAAATCATTCTAATATGCTGATTTGCTGAACAAGATTCTTATTATTCTTATTATAATCATTGTTGAAAACAGTTGTGCTGCTTAATATTTTTGTGGAAACCATGATACATTTTTCTCAGGATTCTCTGATGAATAGAATTATGAATGTCTTTTGTCTTTTTTCACTTTTGAAGCATTCATTTGATATATATATTTATTTATTTATTTTTTTTTTTTTTAAACTTACCACCCCCAAACTTTTGAACGGTTGTGTAATTGAACCAAATATTCTTTAGACAGGAAGTGAACTAAACTATGGGAAAACAACCAGATCTGAAACTGACCCCAAAAAGTATTTGGAAACTTACATCACACTTAAAAAATGTATGAATGTCATTGCATGAGATAGACTTTTTTTTTCATATAAAAAAACAACAACAACAACAACAACTCTTCAGTAATGAGCTCTAAGGAACAAATCCAACCAGTTTCTAAGATAAATCACAACATTACAAAACTCTGATTTCAAGTGTCAAAAAGTATATAAAAACTAGGGATTGAACTACAATTCCATGAAATACTAGCACTGATGTCTTTCCATAAAAAAAAACTTGAATTTACACATTTCTGTTGTAAAGATTTGTCTGACCCATTCCAGTATAAATAAGGAGACCCAGTTCACACTATCAGCTCTAAACAACAATCCCTAATGACTGTGTTTTCTGCTTCTGTGAAATATGACCTCCAGCACAATCTGGTGTACTGCGTATTCACTGATATCCGAACAGCTAACATACTAACCGTTCCGTCCTCCGTGAGTTTAAGACAGGAGCCGAAATCTGCTAGCCGAATGTGTCCGTTCACATCCAGCAGAATATTATCTGGCTTGATGTCTCTGTCAGAGAGAAAACAGAAAGACAGATTAATAACAAAAAGATTTATATGTTAACACAATATTGATTTAGAAGTTGTTGTTTACTGTTTCCTGATCCTGGGAGAGTAGACTACAATGCCGGTTGTTCTGACTCACAGTCTGTAAGTACGTTTTTTATATTTATTATATTTATTTTGGGCAGTGTAGAGTAGGGCTTGATGTTCATCATTTCTCCGATCACAAATGCAGACATGGTTTTATGTTTACGCGGCGCGATGCAACGCAACGCGTAAAAAGACAGTATAAGTCATTATAATCGATAAATATGTCCCCACTGAATGCCTCGTTTATAATGGGTTTTCATGTTTTTGAATCATCGCTCCGGCCTGACAAGGCATCATCACAATATGGTGAGGGGCGTAACATTTCAGTCTCACGCTTGAGGTATTCGGCCAATCACAACGCACTGGATAGCTGGCGTTTCAGAAAGGCGGGGCATAGAGGAGAAACAATAATGTACAGTATGTTGAAAATAATGTTTTTTTTTAACCTTAAACCGCATAAACACATTTCATTACACCAAATACACAACATACTGTTCTTTTTAGCAACATCATATGACCCCTTTAAGGATTCAAATCCCAGGTTAACACTCACACTGATTACATCTTACTTGAATGCTCAGCAAACCGTTTTGGATAAAAGTGTCTGTAAAATGCATTAACGTAATTGTAAATATTGCTGTTATTATGTTTGGTTTACATGGAGCAAAATTCTTTTTGAGGCATGTTACGGCTTGCTGCTTTATTTTACAACCTTAGAGCCACTTCAAGTCCAGTGCGCATTTTAGAGAGCTTCTTAATGAGACAATTCACAGTGGACTTCACAGTAGGGACTTGTGTCTGCCCTGTAAATCACCTCTATTCCTGAGAGAGAGCCACATAGGAAACACATAGGCTCTGTGTCGCAGAAAGCCTCCATCCACTCCGCATAACCCCCAGCTCTCATAAGAGGAAGTCAAAACAAACAGGTCAGAGACCTGAACCTGTCATTTGGAGGGCTGGATTAGTTTTAATAGCGTTTGAGAGGTGTTCGCTGCCCCGTCTGTGACCTGCCCATGGGGCGCTAGAAGCACAAACAAACAGGAATCAAAGTGTCACAAGTTCGTGTCTCCATTCCAGCTTATCTAAAGCTGTGTCAGAGAACACGCTCGCGGCGGGAGCGAAATACAGACAGTTCTTATTCTCCTGTACGCTCTTGCTCATTCGCCCCTAGTAAATCTGATCCAGGAGTTTGACGTGGAGCTATAATAAAGGCGGAGTGAATGTTTGCGTGTGCCTTGTATAGACATGAATTATGACAGCACTCGTGAGGTGAGTTTCCTTCAATATCTCACCCGAACGACTGCCGAATCCTGTAACAATGTTCAATGGGCAGCCAGCCATGGCAAAATTTATAATGAAAACAAGGTTGCGCTAAGAACTGAATGGAAACTTGATAGTGAGTAGGGATGTAACGATATGAAAATTTCTTATCACGATTATAGTGACCAAAATGATCTTGATTATCAGTATCATCACGGTATTGTTAAAATGTTCTGGAGATGCTCAAAAAGTAATGACACATAAATCATGTGGGGAATTTGATCATGATTTATCGTCAAACCGGTAATCGTTACATCCCTAATAGTGAGCTATAAAAAAAGGATAATATTCTACATTTTTGTAGAATTTTTATATTCCTGAAGTTTAAGAAATAAGTCTGTTCACATTGAATACAAACTGCTATAGAAATAGCAACCAAGCAATCAACAAAACTTCCTGTCACTTGTGGCAACGAGTTAATAAAAAAAAAAAAAAGATATTTACATGAAAGTAAGCACATTGTGTCTGGATGAGAGACAGTGCTTTAATTTTAGTAAACCTTTCACAAAAAGCATAATTATTTCGTTTAATTTTTCCAACCTCTTTTAGACATTTAGAATTAAACAGTACGTTTTCTCTACAGCGTTTTTAGACTATTAATATTACAATATTATAATAATATGCAAATGACCAACAATATCATTCAAAAGTTTGGAGTAAGTAAAGAAATTAGCACTTTTATTCAACAAAGATGCACTAAATAGATAAAAAAAAATGACAGTGAAAACATTTATAATGTTACAAAAGATTTCGATTTCAAATATATGCTGTTCTGTTGATCACATTATTCATCAAAGAATACTGAAAAAATGGATTCTACAAAAAATTTAAGCAGCACAACTGTTTTCAACATTGATAATGATAAGAAATGTTTCTTGAGCAGCAAATCAGCATATTAGAATGATTTCTGAAGGATCATATGATACTGAAGACTGGATTAATGAAGCTGAAAATTCAGATTTACATCACAAGAATAAATTACATTTAAAATACATTCAAATAAAAAACATTTACATTTAATTGTAATAATATTTTACAATACTACTGTTTTTACCAGGGATGTAACGATTCACTCAACTCACGATTCGATTCACGATTTTGATTTCACGATTCAATTTTCTCACGATTTTTTTTAACAAAATTAGATTGAAGACATTATACAGTAAACGAAAAGGTGTCTTTTATTAGGCTATTGCTGCACGTTTCTTTGTGAAATTGACAACAAAACTAAACTGAAATTTTAAAACAAACCCCAAATCAAACAATTAAGTTACACAAATAAAAGAAGTCTCTTAATATGAACAAACTAAGGCTTTGTCTGTGCTCTTTCCATTTGATACGGCATTGTAGTATCACGTGAAGTGCTCAGGTACAAATCCCATGAAACTAAGGTTCGACAAAACAAGGAAGCATACGGTTCTACAGTTCGCGTTGAAGGAAGTTAAAATAGCACAATTGCATCAGCGAATGCATTTTTTTTCCACTTTTGCTTTCGTTAACACTATTGGGTAGTTTCAGGGTTGGGTTTGGTGTAGGGGGTATGTTATTTTCCAACATGACATTTCCAACCTTTTAGCGTCAGTGGCCACGGTCATGTTTTGAATGTGCATTTTAGCACCACTCACTGGAAATTTGTGAAATGATGCACGTAATATCGGTGCAGCAGAAATGGGTTGCACTTGCATGTCATTTGCAATTAGATGAAAATGCATTTCACTTTACATTTACATTTGAATGTGTTTTTCCTGATATTTTTCCCGATATTTAAGCATTTTACAATCATCGGATATCGGTTTTGTAATATCGGATTCACCGATAAACGCCGCCATCTTGTGGATGTTTTGAGAATTGCGCGCAGGATCACCATTGCAGCGCATCTGAGTGGAAACAAGACAACAACAACGGCGTGCACGGGTACTTGATTTACTGTAGTTAGTAAACTTTATTTAACATAACAGCCATTAATGCACAAATGAGATGTATTATATAAATGCCTGATATGCAGTTTATGCAGCTTGCCTCGAAGAAATAGAGACGAACTCACGGAGTCATGTAAGATAATCCGTCAAGTCCTGTCCCAATAAAGACGTAACTTTGCGTGAATTAAATAATATGCAGCCATGAATGGGCGCATGTTGGAAATAAAACTGCTGAATTTAATTCGCTCTCTATTGTCTATGCTCATCGTCTCATGAAGTCGGAGTCACGTAGGCTAAGATAATCCGTCAAGTCCTCTCCCAATAAAGACGTAACTTTGCATTAATTAAATAATACAGCCATGTATGAGTGCATGTTGGAAATAAAAACGCTAAATTTAATTCTCTGTCTGTTGTCTATGCTCATCATTAGTCTCGTGAAGCCGCTTTCATATTGCTGTTCACTCACCGGGTTGATGCTCAGGAAATGCTCCAGCACGGCCACACAGCATGTAACTTTTAACAAGATTCACTAGTTTAAAACACCCTAAATTGTATTAACATTAACATTACTATATAACCATTATTTCGCTAATAAACATCTAAATAGATACAACTCTATGGAAATTAATTATTTATTATCTCCACGAGCGATCGCAGTTTGAGTATAGTTCTGTGTAAATGAATAGATAAACTGCGCTGTCAGCAGGCATTTCATAATCTAGAACGACAAAA